AAGAGCAAAAGCGGCGAAAGAGCCAAAGCACGAAAGCCCTTCTCTCCGGCTGACCCTCACTTTTATACTGGGCATGACGCTGCATGATATGGAATACCAATTGGCCAGTTTGGCCCTCAATCTTAAGTTCCACCATAAATCACAAGGGGAATCGTGTCCCCCTTATTCTGCTGTGCCTCTGCACTCTGGCACACTGAAAAGTCCTTGGAGTTTCACGTCCAACCACAAACATCAACTTGCTATCAGCGTTCTTCTCAGAAGCGAGCCTCTGAGTAAAACCAAAACACGGAGCTCTTCTAGCTGCTAAAAAGAAGAGCTAACACTGTCCCAGCTAAAACCAGGGCACCAAGTATTTTGGCATGTATTGGCAAGGCATTCGCTCCAATCACTGATAAAATTCTGCATACACACCTTTATCTGTATTTTGTGTGTTGCTTTCTGCCCTGGAGCAACTTGATTTCTACAATCATAGGTTTTTCTTTTCTTTCTCTGTTAGAATTATAGAATAACATCGACTTTTTTTTTTTAAAAAAAAAAGGCAGCTTTGAACTTCACTTTAATAAATTCAAATGCAGTGGTCCAATATCAATGTCTCCGTGTGTGTGATCAGTAGCGATAAGTGTAGCTGTATTTTGGAGAGAGTTTTACTGCTGTGAACTCCAGCTGCTGCCCTATTGCCTTCACTCAAATGACTTGTAGGACAAGTGAGAACTACTCCATGGTTCTCTTATGCTCTAGATGACCCTTCTTCTTTTTCCAATTCCCACTCAAAAAAGCATGGAAATAAAATTGATATGTGCTGTTACTTGATGTTATTCCAGTACCCGTTACCTTTTCCTCATCAATTATTTGCAAGCCAATTGCTGCTGTTTCAGTTCTGCTCAAGAAAAAACACTTGATTTATTCTTTTTCTTTTAAACCAAAAATGGTATTTCCCACATCCAGACATCAGAATATGCTTGTACACATTTTGAGAATATTTGCATAGTTACTTCCAGTTACAGAGAATTGTTTCTGCACTTGAGAGGATCTTAGAAATTCATCGTCTGCTTCCTTAACAATAGCTTTATGGTAATTTTTGATGAAATACCTCTATGTCCTTGTATGTACCGCCTCCTCACTGCACTCACAGGATTTAAGGTAAATCCTGTGAACTGAAACATTTGCCACTTATGCAAATTTGCAAGCACTAGTTTAGGATCTGGACATACTTTCAGCTCTTTCCTGTGGCTTTTGAGCTTTTGCATGATTTTTCAGTTCTCTTTTAAAGCGGTTTTTGCTTGACAGCCCATCATCAGCTTTTCCCTTATTTTTCATAAATTTTCTTGCTGTCTTCTTCCTTTTTTCCCTGCCTTTAATTAGAGGACACAGTCAGCCTAGTCTGTACCTGTGTCATCTTATTATTTTTATCTGTTTATTTTGGTTTAAAGTTGGGTTTTTAAAAGGGATTGTATCTTGTTCTGTTAGTTTTTGCGATCGTCAGTTTCACATGCTTGTTCTAAAGATTGTCTTGATAAAGATCCATGCAGGAAAGAAAGCTGAGGAGTTCTGTAAAGTAAGGGCCATCAAATATGAGAAATACTAGAGATGTGACTTAATTATTTTTATTGGTGTTTTTTTTTCCTCCTTACACTTATAGCAGAGAGTTGTTGTTGATTACGTACTACTTCAGAAAGCATTTTAAGACAAATGAATGACTTTTAAATTGACAAGAATTTCTCATCCTGTGTGTTGGGATGAGCAAATGTTAATCTATAGGTCTTCCCTTAAAAGTGTAGTCTGCTTGGCTGGATCAAATGCCTTAGTTGACATGGAGATGTTGGTGTTGCCAGCTGTCACTACAGGAAGGGAGTTCTGAACCTGTGTGTTTAGTTTGTTCTGCCCTGCACTACTTTTGTTCCCTCCACCAGCAGCTACTTTCAGGAATAAAGTCCACTAACTTGAAGTTACTTGATATTTTTGCAGACAAACCTCAAAGTGACATCAGACCTCCTTCAGGACGGGGAAGGATGGTGAGTGCCCACGATGGATCTTACATATCTGCAGAGAAGCAGCTTGAACTGAGACTTAGAGACTTTCTTTTGGACATTGAAGACAGGATCTACCAAGGAACATTGGGAGCTATTAAGGTATTTGGGAGTTGTAGAGTACCTAGAAGCATAGTGGTGCCGTCGAGTCTGTAGCTTAAATGAGAGCTCTTGCATGCTATGTTTTACTGAAAGCATAATTAAGTGTAGACGGTAATTGGCACTAAAAGTGGCTTTTGATTCTTTAGAAACTCTAAGTTTGTGTGTTTGCTTCAGGTTACAGACAGACAGGCTTGGAGAGCAGCCTTAGAACATGGGCGGTATGAGTTTCTGAATGATGAAAACAAAGAAAATGGTATAATTAAAACTGTGAATGAAGAGTCTGAAGAAATGGAAACGGATGATCAGGATAAGTTTATTGTGAAAGACAGGTAAGAGCTATGGTTTACGTAATGGCTCTTTAGTTTTAGAGCAGTGCTCTACTTTTAACTTTCAAATTGTTTTTACTCTCAAATTCTTTGGAATGGTATTTTTTAAGATTTGAGTTATAAAACGTGAGATTTTTGCATTGGTTTCTATTTTCTAAATGATACTGTTCTATTACCATATAGGACTAAGACACCAGTTTTTACAACTTGTACCATTCGTGTATTACACTGCTCAAAAGTGAACATTAATTATCAAATAAGGAATATGTGAATTCATTTTAAAATCATTTAAAATGCAGAGAAAAGTTAATTTGGCAATTTCTGTTTCGTTTTCCAGAAGGAGGGGAAAAAACAAACAAACAAACAAACAAAAAACCCCCAAACAACCCGAAACAAACAAAAAACCCAAACCCCAACGCTTTGGTAGGAGTGTTTGAAACGGAAAATGGTAATAGTAACAAATTACTGGTTGAAGTGGCCAGTGTACCTCTTCATGAGTCACAGTTAGAGCTATGAACGCAACAGGCCATGGTCTGGATTAACCTTTAGCGCTACAGCAAAACAGAGATATAATCTTAAACTTTATGAATGATGCTGCTTCTGTAGAGCAAGCTGCAACATAGTAAAAGAGAGGAAACTTCAAATCATACAGTGTTGTGACTATAAAAGTGTTTTGTTGGTTTTTGTTTATTTTTTAAACAAGCTTTTGAGACAAGTGAAGGACTCTATACTGGTGATTGTTGTAAATCAAACTGTAGAAACTATGGAAACTGAGGATTTCTAAATATTTAATTCTCAGGAGTTACATTTTTTCAGAAATAAAGATCTACCTTAATACATACAAAATTATATGCTTGACGGGATGTGAATGTTGAAATATTGAAGGAAAAAAGGTTCATTGGAGGTGATTACTGCATTACCAGTTTGTATTCTGTGAGGTTTTCTGCAATTAGGCTTTTATTTTAGGAAATGTATTTCCAAGTGGACTGTCACCTGCTGTGTTGTGTATAGGAATTTGAATTCTAAAGTTCTTTAAGTTTTTTCCCTTTTTATTTCAGTTTGTTGAATTAGTATTTTTATGTAAGGCTGCCCCTTGGATCAGAGTTCTCTAGTTGCATGCAAAATGGATAGGGTCATCCTTCTTTATAGTAATGACACAATTTACAGACATTTGCTTCCTGAAAACCACAGCATAGAAATATTCCACAGTTTTAATTAAGGAGCTAAAATTTGCCTGTCTCCAGTTACCTTGGGCACTTGCTTCTATTGCCAACTCTCAGTTCAACTGCAGAAGCTTGTTGCTTCTTTTTTTTTTTTTTTTACCCATTTGATACTGACTCTGTCAAAGTTTCTGAATAAAGTCTGCTCTAAAAAAAGTCTTGCATATTAAAACAGAGACTATGAGATTCTGAAATCATGTGACAGACTGCTTTTGATGCTGGGCTTTTCATCCACCTCAGAGCGAGTGACATCTCATTAAGACCTTGGAGTTTGACTAGTGAAATGTAAATAACTGTGCAGCTTTTTTCTGTTTGCTTTCAGGCTCTCAAAATGTGTGTGACTGCAAAATATAATGAACAGCTTTTAAGTGCAAAAAAAGAACAGGGACAACCAAAAGCATTACTTATTCACCAGAATAAAGCAGAATCCAGACACTCTTAATGAGTTATTTAAAAAAAAACAAAACAAAACAAGTAGAAATTGAATTTTATTTTCATTAGTGTGAGTAGCTCTCCTATGCTATACTTGTGTTTGTGGTTCAGGAAGATTAACTACACTTTGAAATGGTTACTTGGTTTTTGGTCAAAGGCTGTATTATTAGAAAACTATCTTTTTTTTTTCCCTTACATGAAGAGTTAGTGTTTTAGAAAAATCCTCCAAGGATTAAAACATATAAGTTAATAATTTGTGATTTAACGTTCCAAAATTACTTTCTGGTTTTATTTCATTTATTTTCTCTTCAAAAAATGTCATTAATTGTGAGGATATATGTAGTTGCAATTCTGCAGATGGAAGTACACTAAAAGGCTACACATTTTCACTGAAGAATTATTGGGACTATACTCTCCACAGAAATATGTCATAAACTAGTTGATGGATGTTGCTTGAAATCTTCTGGAAATCTGAATAGTTGTATGAAAATTTGTAATCCACGTTTCTTGAAAGTTAGATAAATCATCTTTAGGTAATGAAGGTATCTGTATTAACTAGATTAATTAAGCAAACTCAAGAACTGGGATAACTAGTCATGCCTGTGCAGTATCTGTTCATGTCCGTAGTCCATGCATATAAATGAAGCAAAAATTAAAATCTACTGTGGATAAAGACCTGTACCAATATCTATGGTGTTAAATTCAAAGTATGTTTTTTAAAAAAAAGGTAATATAATACATTTCTATTTCTAGACTTGTGGGATTAAAAACTGAAGCTCCAAGTGCTGCGTCAACAAGTACAAGTACTCCTCAGCCAGTTAATAATGTGGTCCACTACTTGGCATCTGCACTGCTTCAGATAGAACAAGGAATTGAGCGCAGGTTTCTCAAAGCACCTCTTGGTAAGCTTTCAGAATTGAAACTGTATGTCTCTAATTTTGTGTAATATTTTGTAAAAAAGAAAAAAAAAAAACACAAAAAAACCAACCCACTTGCTGCTTTTGTAAGGCTGGATGCTTTAGATGGATGTGTTTGGTAAAAGAACAAATAACTAATCTATTGCTATATACCATTGTAAAATTATTAAACGTTAGATTGGTGGTTTACAAGGCCACGGATCATGAGGAAATATTAATATTTTTTCTAACTATTCTGCATGTGCTGAATTACATGTATTAATTAAGTAACGATTTATTTAACTCTTAAATACATGTCTATTTAACTTGGATCATTTCAGTAATCTTGTTTATATGGCCCTACAATTATACTGATGCATTGGGACGCAAATCATACCCTTAGGTAGAAATTGTACCCTTAGCTTTCTGAGGGAATGCTCTGTAATTCAGCATTACCATTGAGGCCAATGTATCATGTAACTATACCCTGAGTTTCTTCTGTGTGTTTTTTAGATTGTAAAAATATGTACTCCTTTTTATACTGTTTCTGTGAAAGCAATATAGGCCTGGTTTATCTGGATCACCTTGCTCAGCAATAACAGAATATTTACAGTAAAACGTAGTAAAGACTTACATAGCAACCTTTCAGATCCTCAAGTTTTGTGTTTATGCTGTAAAACTTGCAAATAAAAGGTTGCAAGACAAATTCAAACCAAAGCACAATTATAGCTTGACTTTAACACATATCCCTCCCTTGGAATTCCTCTGACTGTGCTCTTGGTGGGGAGAGAGAGGGGATGCAAAGTGCATGAAGTAACTTTGTGTTCCAGTGATCTCTCAGGTCTGGATTCCTTAGGATCCTTTTGCAATTCAAAACTGGGGTTCTGTCTTGGAGAAGCATGTAATGGTGGTTTGTCCTTCCTGAGGCAGCTGTCTCAACCAGCCTTCCCTTCTGGATGCTGTGCCGAGGACGAGCTGTACTCCGCTTGGCTGGACTGCTTTACTTCTCACCCGCGGGAGCACAGCGTGGTTTGCCAGAGCAGCACGTACCAGGGCTTCTCCACGAACCCCTACATGTCCTCTTAAATTGACGCTCTCCTCTGATAATGACTGCATACAAAATCCTTAGGCTCTGGCAGATTTTGCTGCAGTGGTTTAAGATGAAAATGCACGTTTTGGTGTATTGACAGTAGACGTTAGTGCCCCGTGGCACCGTTGACCTAAAACTGTTTCTGCATCTGGGCTGCTCCTGCGTGGAGTCTGGTGTCTGGATATCTGTTGCCACTGAAGATGAGTGTGAGCTAGATTTGTGCCAGAGGCTCTGACACGCAGGCATAGGTTCCCTTCCACAGGCTTTCGTTATCAGTGTGGTGACCTCTAGAAGAGGGAAACGCAGCAAATGATTGAGATGAAAGGGGTGAGTGCAGGAGTAGTTTAAACGGCAGCTGTTTAAAAGCTTTACTTGGCTAAGTGTTTGGTCAACTCAAGCATGTCTGCCCTTTCCAAGCCAGGCATGATATGGCTTATTTCCTGCTATATAACTAGATTTACAACATGTGCGTGGGACAGTTAATTGGCAGTACGTCTAGCGTTTGTTGTATTTACTCTGCATGTTCAGGTTGTAAATACATTGTGCTGTATGTGCTTCCATTTCCAGACTCTGAGAGTATTGTGGCAACAGCATCTTGCTGACAGCTGTAAGTTTACTATAGTGTGTCCTTTAGGGGAAAAACTTGACTATTAGTAGGCTATGGCCATAGATCCAGGCATTCGGAGTTAGGAGGAAAAACACTAAAAGAAAAAAAGTGTTCCTGAAGTTTTGGAGAGAAAGTTTTTTAGCAATCTCCTGTGTCTTTTTTTCAGTGGTCCAAGCTCTGCCATTGTCTAATGATGGTTCATGTTTTTGCTCGACCTTTTGAATGATGGTGAGGTTTCTTGTTCGATTTTTAACTCGGGCGTCCTGTCTTCCTTTAGATACTTTATACCATGGACAAAGAAGGTGTATAAGGAAAGCAATCTTATGTGATTTGCGTGTCTTAAATCTCTCATGTTCATTTACCGTACTGAGCTGGTGCATCTCTTCTGCTCTGAAAAATGGTACCGCTCTAAGAGGACTGTAATATATAGAGTAACCTACATAGCTGAGGGAGCAGGAAGGATCCCCAGTCTCCTGCTGTGGCTTACTGCCCTAACCATTAATCGACAGTGTCAGGTTCCCTCTTCCTTGCTTTACCTTTGGTGCCAAGCGTCTCGTGTTTTCAGTTGCGTAATGGGCCGCTTTTAGCAGGAGATGAGTCTGAATGAAGGCAAGACTTGAGTTTTGTCACTAGACAGCTCTTGGAGGAGCAGTGGCTTTGAGTGGCTCTGTAGTAAAGGGAGCTTAAAACGCGCACCTATTCACTACTGAATTTTGTGGCTGCTAGGCAGTTAGTTATATGAAAGGTGCTCTGACTTGGGAACTTCTGCACGTGACCAGAAGGTGCAACTGCAAAGTGTCAAGGAAACCTGTGTGTTAGAGAGGCATTTGGTGAACTTAGGCACTTCAGAGGTCAAGCAGTGGTTCCAAATGCAACCCTTTCTGGATATAACTCTTCAGTGGTTCAGATACGTTTAAAAAAAACAAGAGTGTAAAATTTACAGAATCTTATATTCAACTTAAGCTCCTCAGTTGGAAACAATGTCTTTGCATGCTACTGCAGCAAGTTCTGTTTCTTGGTTTCAACTTGCATATGTATAACAAGCAAAGACAAGTTGTTTACTTAGCTTGACAAGGAGGTGTTAGTGGCTTTTTTTTTTTAAAAAAAAAATGGACATAGCTTCTTGCTTGGGGACTGCCTTGTGCTCAGAACTGTGATGCCCTCTTTCATTGACCCCTCTAGAAAGTGGCCAGCAGTACTCTGACGATAGAAATTAGCTTCTAGTTTGTAACCACTGGGTTTTGGTTTGTGGGTGTTTTTGGTTTTGTTTGCCTGTTCTTGTATAGATCATTGTATCTGTACACTCATTGTTTTCTAACAGGAGGTTTTTTTTAATAATTGTTCCAATTATTTAATGGAACTGTCCCCTAGACAAAATGCCCGCATATCTCTTTCTAATGTTAAACCTGACAACTGCAACTTTTCAGGCTGATTTAATTGCCACTGAAGTGAAAACATCGGAAGTCAAGCAAGTGTTAGGAGTTCTAGTTTTGGTAGCAGTACAGGGGAACTGTTTTGGTAAAAGACTACCCTAGTGTTTCTGCTTTAAACCAAACCAAAGGTGCTTTGTCTTTGTCATTATCTCAGTCACTGCCTTGGCTGCAGAGTTGCTTTTCTCTGTCTGCCCCCCTTTCACTGTGCTCCGTTGCTATTAGGGAACGGAGCCATACGTACCAAATTTGAGTTTTTCACTCTATTTGCAGCTTGTAGTACTAAAGACAGCGCAGTGAAATTCACTGCAGTCACTGGCGGGTTTATGCCGGTGGCCTCCAGAGTGCGGAGCAGACAAAGGGACCCAGCACAGCAATAAAAGGACCAGCTGCTCCTCTCTGCTCTGTTTTTGTTCTGAGGCTCTATCGGGCTGCCAAGAGCCTCGCTGGTGATTCTGATAAGTTTAGAGTTGAGGTGCATACCAAATGTTCAAGTAGAAGGGCAAGCAAAGGCTGACACGGAAGATAGTCATGCAAAAGGAGATCTAGAAACCCCAGGAACAGCACCCTCTGCCTTGCAGAGCTGCTAGATGGGTGCTGATCTTCTGTTGTCTGGTGATTAAATGTGACATGACTTGAATTGGATGCATTTCTTAATTAGGAATTGTGGTTTAGAATGCATTTCATTGCACATAAGCTATAAAAAAATGTTTTTCCTTCCTTCCGTCCAGCCCAAGGTAGTGTTTCGGGACAATGGCAAAAGGCGGGAGGGGGTGTGGGGGTGTGGGTGCAGCTTGCAGCACGTTTTTGCTGCAAAAATGCTGAGTTATGATGTAAAAAAGCCCTCTCTTTTTTTTTTTTAATAGCTGTTTGATGGAAACTCTGAAGTGCTACTTTGCAGATAAAGTATTTTTGAGAGGGAAAAAATACAAGCAATTTTTGTTGTGGATTTCGCTTCTTTTTGAGTATAAATTACTTTTCCTTACATTTCAAAATACTTTGCAGCGGAGACGTAGGTCTTGTCATTCCAGTTACATATATGTGACAATTGAGGTATAAAATGATGAAGTGATTTGGTTGCCCTGGAGTCCAGTGAGGCAGCCATCGGAAAAAAAAAACAACCAACTGCCTTCTGCACTAGTGCAGGACTCGAGTCATTAAGCATCCTTCAGATTTCCATACGAAAAGTTGGATTCTAATTCATGGGAGCACCTTTGTAACTGATATTGGGAACCCTTTACCTCCTTTTTAATTTGTGCCATGTACTTCTTGCAGGACAAAAAAAAAAAAATACAGCTTTTTCACTCCTTTTTGCTTGTCTTCATTCCATTCCTTTCTTTCTAGATTCTGATTCTTTTTGTTCCCCCTGCTCCCAAAGTTGTTTCCTTTTCTATTTGTAATTATCCTCATCATAATAGCATCAGTCATCTTCCAGCAGTGAACTGGGATAGGATTAGTATATATATGCATGCTTTGTTCTCCTGATTTCATTACTTCATAGATTTCATAGATTTCTAGGTTGGAAAAGACCTTAGAGATCATCGAGTCCAACCATCTCTAATCCCCATTAAACCATATCCTCAAGTAGATCATCCACCCTATTCTTAAACACATCCAGGGATGGGGACTCAACCACCTCCCTGGGCAGCCTATTCCAGTGGCTGACAACCCTTTCAGAGAAGAAATACTTCCTAACATCCAACCTGAATCTCCCCTGACTAAGCTTATGTCCATTTCCTCTTGTTCTATCACCCATCACTAATGTAAAGAGCCCTTCCCCTACCTCCCCACCATCTTTTCTCAAGTATTTATAGGCCGTAATCAGGTCCCCCCTCAGCCTCCTCTTCTCCAGGCTAAACAGCCCCAACTCCCTCAGCCACTTCTCATAAGTTTTATTTTTCAGCCCCTTCACCAGTTTAGTCGCCCTTCTTTGGACTCGCTCCAGGAGCTCAATATCTCTCTTAAAGCGAGGGGCCCAAAACTGGACACAATATTCCAGGTGCGGCCTCACCAGTGCTGAATTTGTGCCGAATTCCTTGTGGAATTTCATGAGCAGAGGCAGCAAAGGTAGAAGTGGTCGTCTTTTCTGATGAAGAATTTTTGCTTACCCTCAGAGAAGGTAGTCAAAGAAGGGACCTTGCATTGGGAGCCGATAAGGTTTACTATGGCTTTTACTCCCTGGGAGAGTAATTTCATCATTTTAATACTCAGGAACGCTCCTGAAGAAAAATATCTCAAGTATGTCATTTCACATGGACAGATGAGCCAGTTCTCTTGGTCCTTGAGGATTGTGCCCATAAACTGGCTATATTTTTGAGATGTTAGGAGGTTTGCGGTAGCATAAACCAGACAAGTTTGCTGAGAGAGAAACCTGCGGTCAGTAAGCTGCTTCTATAGCCATTTGTACTGGAGATGGACAGAAAGGTAAGGGAGGGTAGGTCTGAGCTTCCAGTTTAAGCCTTCCGTTAGTAGAGGGAGTCAAAGTAAATTCTGAGATGTGCAGTTCCTCCATGCACATTATTCTCTTACCCTTCCTTGCCTACCTTTTTCCATGTGCACATGTTGGGAACCACTGTTCTAGTTACACTTTTAGACTACGCAAGTATGGATTATAAAAATTAATTAAGAAATAGTCCACCACGCTTCAAAAAGGTATTTGAAATAACTTTATGAATTTAATGTTAGGTAATGCAGAAGATGATAAAAGAAACCACTGAGGGGATAAAAAGAGGAAGAGAGTGGAAGACAAGACTAGTCAGAGAGATGTTAAATTTTAAATGTTACTTATATTGCTAAGAATTAGAAAGTATTGAATATTTACCAGGTTTTGATGTTTTTTTGTTGGTTGTTTTTTTTGAAGTTTAGTAATTTTATAGCCAGTTCCTTACATTGAAAGGATTGTGGTATTGAAAACGAAGGTTTAAACATAGCTAGTAAAACAAATACAGCTCAAAGATTTTTACAAACAAAAAGTATCTTTCTCTTTTTATTAAGTTTTCTGCAACCAGAGATAAAGATCTGTATTTTCTTTTTATCACTTTGGGACAGAAATCTGCATGTTCACATAATCCTTTCCCCCCCCTTCCCCCTTCCTTTTAATGCTCCTGTTGTGTTTTTTTTAAAAAAAAACTTTGCAGCATTGTGCAACCGCATATCCTTTCTAGAAATACTAAAATAGAAAACCCTTCCCTGAACTCAATTAGCTATTGATAGATGAGTGCATAGATCTGTCAAACAACTTCATTTGCATTGTAGCAAGGCTTGGAGGGCTTAGCCGACAGAGGAGTATCCCACTGCGCAATGTAGAGCTGCTCAGACACAAAGGAAGAGGCTGTTTCTCCTTCCAAATTAACAATATAGATGAGAAAGATGATGGATGGAAGAAAAAAGTGTTGTTCTTATTTTACAAATTGGGATCTGAA